ATGGGAAGCTGGGTCCCCTGCACCTGACTGGGTTTGCCCCAGAAGGCACTTCAACAACTGAGCTAACCTGCAAACCCCCTCAAAACTACGTCTTGAAGTATGATGTTTGCTATAGTTTTTCCACTGTGAAAGACTTTCATTGCTTTTTCAAAAAGTTATTCCTGTATTTCTAAAAGCATTTCCCTCATCATTTTAATTGTGAAGCATAATTTGATTTTCTAAATGTATTATTATTTTTTATTATCACATGTTTGTAGTGCATAATGATTACGTTCACTGTAAAGAGTAGGTACATGCAACAAACTGCACCAAGAAGGCCCAAAGTGAGTCATGAAAGATAGAATCTCTGCACCAGTGTTATGAAAACTCTGTGCCAGCAGGCTGAGGGATCTTCACTGGATGCAGGAAGTGACACTCAAGGTAAGGACCAGAACTCCACTGAAGAGAACTGCAGCCATCCTCAGTGATAGCAAGGACCTAAACTCCTCTGACTGTGAGAACATCTGAATTCATATCAGGAAAAGCAGCAGAACAAGTGTCTCTAGAAGAATCAGCAACACACCGTTTTCTCCTCCAGTTCTTTTATGCTATTGCCAACAACCTTCAAATGGGCATTCCACACTCAGAACCATGTTGATTTATTTTAGCTGAGTGTTACAGATTAACCATTACATAATCCACCACAATACACCTCTGGCCAACTTGATAACAAGACACATTTTCTAAAACCATAGTAAAGGGGCCAGGAAGATGGCTTAGTGGAATAAGTGCTTGCCTGGTAAAACCATAGTATCCATTGGCAGATTTATGATCTATTGATATTTACATTAATAGGAGAATTGCACATAATTTAATTCTTATTGAACTCATTTCCACATCAAAAAAATATGCAAAGTGTGTCTAAAATTCAAGGTTAAAACCACAATACTTTGAGTGAATACTGATTGCAAACTTGAATCTAAAAACTATAATAACATTAGATTTAAGAGAGTTTTTTTGAACTAATAGTGTTTAGACAAGATATCATGTCTGCATCTTGTACAATGAATAATTACTATGAAGACAACAATATGCAATGTATTAATTATTGTAACTGTCCTACTAACTTGTTTTGAAACTGTCTCATTGTTATTTCTTTCTCAATAAAATTAATATAAAATAATAAAAATTTTTTTAAAAGAGTAGGAACATGGACATAGAATTTCTTATGACTTTTTATTCCCCTTCCCCTACCCTCTCCAAATGTATGTATGTATTTATTAAAGAATTTAAGACAGGGTCTGCAGGATGTACAGGGTCTCACTACATAGATCATAGATCAGACCTGTAGTGATTCTCTTGTTTTCAGCCTCCCAAGCACTGGAATTACAGGTACACACCACCACACCCAGTCTCAATAGCCATCTCAGCACACTCCAGGGGCCAGGCTGGCATGGCATACTGGGGATTGAACCCCGGCTGCTACACTCTCTCAAAGCAGGCACTTTAGTCCACTGAGCTATCTGACTGGCCCTTCCAAATGTATTTGTTATCTGTTAAGATGATCCTACTATTTTTCTCCTGTGCCTATTATGGAGATTAATTACATTGATTTGTATTTGTATTGTTAAGCCAACCTTGCATTCTGGAAGGAACCCACTTTAACAATGATGCAGAATGGTTGCTCAATGCTAGATTCAGTTCACTAGCATTTAGCTTAGAATTTTTCCCATTTGTAATCGTGACATATTAATCTGTAATTTTCCTTTCTTTCTCAGTCTTCATTTGGTTTCCTACAAAAGGGAATATTAAACTCACTTAAAAAAGAAAAACATCCCTTCATTTTTTCTATTACTGTGTTTAAGAACAGAAATCTATTTCTTATCTCTTTTTTAAGATGATCAGGCAGACTTTACCACAGAGAAGCACATGGCAATAGTTTTGGGAACCACCACAAAAGGGTCCTACTACAGGGAGAGAAAGATTAAACTTGACTCCTGAAATTTTCTTCTTGAATTTGATTTATAGTTGCCCTAAAGCCATGTAGGTAGTTTTCTTGGTAAGATAAATTACTTACCAAGAAAAAATGACTTAATAATCTATTTTTTAAAAATTATACAACTAATTGGGCTTTCTGCTAATTAAAGTAGTTTGCTTTTGTGTATTTTCTTAAAAACAAGCTTTCAAATTTTCCAGCAGAGATCTGTTCATAATATATGGCATTTATCAGTTGTGTGATATTATATCTAAAATTCTTTATTTGATCTTTCTCTTTCTGTCTCTATTTCTATCATATATGTCTCCCAGTCTCAAGTAAGCTTGGCAGATCTTTGTTAATGTTAAGGGCTTTCTCAAATAATTCACAAAATAAAATAAGTTATAATGAACCATATAACTTACCACTGAGCTTGAGAAATAAAGTGCTGTTGTAGGGTTGGTTTGGTGGTCATTATTTGTTAGTTGTTCTTTTTCATGGAAGTATTTTACTTCATTAATTTTGAAAGAGAGTTTTAGAGAGTATATCAATCAGGGTTGGAAGTTGTTTTGTTGTAGGACCTGAAATATTTCACTCCAAGCTTTTCTTGACTTGATGATTTGTGTTGAGAAATCTGCTGTGATTCTGTTGGGCTTTTCTTTAAATGTAGTCTGTTTCTTTTCTCTAACAGCATTTAGTATGTTGTACTTATGTTGAATTTCTGGAATCCTGATTATTATATGTCTAGGTATAGATTTATTTTGATTGATGCCATTTGGAGTTCTATATGACTCAATCATCTGTATTTCATATTCTTTCCTTATGTTTAGGAAGTTTTCTGCTATTACTTTTGCAAATATTCTTTTTATGTCATTTTCATTGATTCTTTTTTTTCATTGACACCTATTGTTATGTTGTTCACCTTTGAGTCATCTTGTATCTGTTGAATTATTACTTCCTTATTCCTTGTTGCTTTTAAGAGATCTTTCCTTTCTGGGCCACTAGCTGCTATGATGCCTTCAAGGTCTGAAAGTCTATCTTCAGTTTCCTTTAAACAGTTTTGTCAGCTTTTAGTGGAATTTTTTTATTTCCTGGATATCTCTTTGAATCTGTTTCATGCATTCTACTTCTTTCTTATATTGTTCATTCACAGTTTCCATCATTATTCTAAGCTCTATGCTCCTCTATTTTTTTATCAGTGTCTTTTTAAGATATTCTCAGCAATTCTTTCATTATAGTTATCACTTTTTTCCTGAGGGATTATTTCTGATCTTATTTCCTGTGTACCTATGTGGAGTTGTTTCTTTAGTCCAGTTGTAATCATTTCAGAGCTTTTGGGTGTTTTGACTTCCAATTTCTTCTATAATGATGTCTCCTGGATTTGTTCTGGGTGATCTGGGGGCCTGAGATTGCATTTGTCTTATTATTGTCTTATCCTTTGTCTTACCCTTTTCTCTTTCAGAAGAACTCGTTATTCTGACTTATGTGATAATTCTTGTGAAATTTTGATAGTATGTTGCTGTCACTACTATCAGAGCCACTATAGGAAAAGTTTGTTCTTCATGGATATCTTCTGTGTGTCAGAGATTCTTGGTTTGTATCTGTCCTGAGATCCTGTATTCTCAATTAATTGACAGTGGTATGTTGGTTTCCCTTTGGCACAGCAGACTTTCATTCAGTATAGTAGTTTGGTGATGTTATTAATTTCCAAAAATTATTACCCAAGGAAGAGCAAGGGGCTAAGACAGATATGACATCCTATACACAATTAGAAATACTAATAACATTAAGCAAAATTTAGAAGTTAACAAACTTTGGTAACTAATTGTTTTGTATTGTAGACCTTAGGAGCAAAGACCATAGTTATATAATAAAACATCATACATTTTGAGTTTGTATGCAAAGTCATTCCCCTTGTTAGGGTGGATGTACCCTGTTTATCTGCCCTGTTGCCAGGTTCAAGGAATTTTCCTTCATATAGCTTGAAGAGACAGGGTTCTGCCCATGTGCATGTCATCCCTGCTGGAGAGAGGGCTGGGTACCTGGATTTTTCTGGAAAGATAATCCCAGAGTCCCTATTGGGTTTTTCAAGACAAGTACTCCCTATGCTTTTCAGATTGAACTTGACCTCCCTCTGTAGCCAAGGCTTGCCTGGAACTTGCACCAATGCACCTGACTCAACTCCCTAAGGGCTGGGATGCCTGGCATGCACCACCTCACCCAGCCCCAGGCTACCTATGTTTCTCTGACCCTTTTCATTGCATTCTTTTCTAGTTAACAATGTCTGCAGACATTTTGAAGGCAAGGTATTGATGTTCTTTCCCTGCCCCTCACCCCCCAATGAAGCACAAACTGACTTCTGAGAGACCCTAGGGAGAGGTCCACCCAGTTGGTGGTTTCTCTCTGGAGCTGTGCACAGCTCCTCTAACACATCTTGGGATTCAGCTTTTCATCTCCGACCTGGCTTCCTTCCTTTCCTGCTCCAGACTCCCCCCCGCCACACACACACACAAGCTTCCATTACCAATTTCACTCACTCCAATTCAACAGAAGTAAACAGGGCCAAGACTTTATTCATGACATAGTTTCCATAAGACAAGTAGTATAACCAATGCACACAGCCCAACAAGGTCTAGAGCAGAAGTGGACCTGAGTACATGATGGGAGATTTGGATCTGCATAAAGCCTTTCCATTCTTGTCCAGGAGAGGGGGAAAACAAGAAGGTAGGATCCTCAGAGCAGAGACACCAAGGACACTAGGGACAGAGTTAAAGTCTGAGTAGCTGGGCTCCTCAGAGGCCACATGCTAAAGGGCATTGAATAGTCACACCCCAATCTTTAGGGTTCCTTTCCCCTTGGGGTTCCTGCCTACCATCAGCCAAAGACTGCAGCTTCCTAGGGCATCCCGGGCAGCAGCATAGGCTCTGGGCCTGGATTTGTCCACCTCCACTGGCAACGGCCTCTCCTGGATGCCTCAGAGTGGCTTTGGCCATTGAGACCAACATCTGCATCACCTCAGGTGACAGGAATTCCTCTGTGGTGTGAGTCACTGGGTCCTGGACATGTGAGTCTTGGCAGCATTCTTTTCCCTGGCTGCTCCAGCCATGGCTCCATCTTCAGTGTCAACCCAGTACAGTGGCTGGCCTCCGTGAGAGTTGACCTTGCCACAGCTCTAGCAGGAAAAGTGGCACAGGGCTTCAAAATGATCCAGTGCTCATGCCCAAGCCTATTCTGGGCTCAGACCTGGTAACTCATAGGGTTCTGGACATGCCCAGCCTAGGCTGTGCTTTTCCAAGGCTGATGCAAGGAGCTCCATAGCTGCAGGTTCCCAAGCAGACCAAGAGAAGCAGCTGGTCTGCTGCTCTCTGGGCCTTCTTAGACTGTGCTGGCTCCAGCCCCAATACTAGGGCAGGACAATTCAAGCTCATCTGCACCATTCATTGGTTCAGGGACTCAGGAAGAACTCAGCACCTGAGTTCTTCAGCATGTGCCTTTGAAAAGCACTGGGTTTGGATGGAATCATGAAACAGCAGAGTGGGGCGTGTTGGGCACAGCAACCCAGGGCACTGGCCACTTTCCTTCCCTTCAGAAAGTCTCTCTGTGCTAGATTTGCCCTGAAAAACAACATTCTGGGGTTTTTCTCCTCCAGTGGTAGAGAGGCGTAGTGGGGCTGCACCCAGATCTAGGATCATGAGCTAGTTCATGGTGGGGCCACATTGACAAGCAATCTTTTCTTTGTGGTTGGATTATAGGCATACCCTGGTAAATCCTGCTTTGGAATGTAGATTTTTGGGGTCTTTTTGGAGGGGTTGGGGGGAATGTCTACATACTTCAGGCTGGCCTGGAACTCATCCCAATCCTTCTGCTTCAGCCTCAGGTGCTGGGATTACCATTCCCAGGGAACCTAGGTTTGTTCTCTCTTCTTTTGTTTCGTGTTGTTTTATAAAGGAGAAAAAGCTTATTTAGCTTACAGCTTGCAGAGGTGTGAGTCCATAATCACCTGGCTCCAAGGCAGCATGGCTCATGACAGAGGGGCAACAATTCACGGGCTGAACATAGATGGGTGAACAGACACATTATGATAGATAAATGATAGATAGATAGATAGATAGATAGATAGATAGATAGATAGATACATAGATACATAGATAGATAGATAGATAGATAGATAGATAGATAGATAGATAGACAGATGATAGACAGACAGACGGGAGGGCAGGCGGGCAGACAGATGCACAGACAGACAGACAGACAGACAGATGATAGGTGAACCTAAGTTTTGAAAGGCCAAGAGAAAAGTCCTGCACAGAGCAAATGTGCTAATGGTTAGGGGATGTTAAGTCCATTAGACTTAAAGCAATGGGGGCTGGGGAAGGAACTTTTCAGGGAGCGTTTGGTAAGATCTCCTTGAAGAATTAGTATGTACGTGAAGATGGTGGCACACAGCTGCAGTGATACCACATAGGATGCTGAAGCAGGAGGATGGAAAGTTCAAGGCCAGCCTAGCCTGAATAGCAATACCTGGCCTCAGTAACCCCAAAATGGAACAATCAAAAGAATTAATATTTCCTGGGGCCGGGGAGATGGCTCAGTGGAATAACTGCTTCCCTGGCAAGCGCAAGGGCCTGAGTTTGATCCCTGGTTCCACCAAAGGGGGAAAAAAAAAAGAATTAATATTTCCAACAAATGGAGGAGCCAGGCATGGTAGCATATCCTTCTAATTCCAGCACTTGGAAGCTGAGGCAGGAGAATCGCAATGAGTTCAAGGTCACTGTATACTACAGAGTGAGTTCAAAGTCAGCCTAAACTGCAAAGTGAGACTCTGTCGAAATAAATAAATAGATAAAATAAAAACAGGCAGGCAATTCTGTTCGCAGACTGTAGATGTCACTATGGACACAGACTTTGTGGCTAAATGTTACCAGCTACTATACTGGAAATAATAAAATATAAGCTAATTTTTGAAAATAGTAGTTAATGCTTGGAATTTTCACTTTGACTAACTGTATGCTGCAATCTGAGCAACTACATCAAGGACAGCAATGTGTAATACAAAAACCATAGTTGAATATCTCTCATCTTGGTCTTCTAAATGTGTACCATTTCTAATGTCTTACCAATTATTTTTTTAATGTGAGACCCTGAACACCCTGTAGACCTTTCCCTAAATACAGAAAATAAATAAATAAAAATTATATCAGTGAGACATTTGAAGTGAAAACAATGCAAAACTGTTTCAATGTCCAATTTTATCACTAGAAAGATAGATCATGCTCTAAAAAAATTCTTTTCTGATAAAATTTTTAAAAATGCCCTAGGCATCATGTTCATCCTGCAATCCCAGTACTTTGGGAGGCTGAGGCAGAAAGATGACCAGAGTTCAATATGATTTAGCTCATTTGCTGGATCCTGTATCAAAAGTTAAAATTAGAGAAGGGCTACATTATACATAATAACTTGGAGCCGGAAATTCAGAAATTTATTAAATAGAGAATGGCAGGGGATGTGGTCCATTATGTAAGTCCTGGACCCAACAGAAAAGAAACAAGCGGGGCAGGATGGAGGGAGGGAAGGAAAATGAAAGGAAGGAAGGGGGGAGAGAAGGGGGAAGGGGGGGAGGGAGGGAGGGAGGGAGGAAGGAAGAAAAGTGGGCATAGTGGTGCATGTTTGTAATCACAGCTCTTGGGAGGCTGAAACAGAAGAACGTCCTCGGGTTTGAAGCCAGCTTAGGCTACACATTAAGAGAAAGAAGTTGCTGTAAGCTTGAAGGTGTACAGTGTAATGTATGTGATGGTATTGCTTGATTTCTTTTGTTTTTAGGGAGTGAAGCTGAACATACCTCATTTACTTTAAGCCCAAAGGAAATTCCTCTGTCATAGAGACATTTCAACTGGGCTTGGTAGTCCACATCTGGAACCCTATCACTCCAAGAGACTGAGGTGAGAGGATCACAAGTGCTATGCCAGCCCGGGCCATATAGCATCTTAGTGAAATCCTATGGCAAACAAGGAGTGAGGGGCCAAGGGGGATGGAGCTACTTATAAAAAAACTTTGCATTAGGCCACATGAAGATAATTGTTTGACCAAAATTGCACACCTGTATCTGGTCTTCTGAACAACAAACTTGAGAACAATATGTAACATAACAACCATTGTTAATTTCCTATTGTCTTGAAATTTTGTACCATTTCTATTGTTTCCTGTTGTTTTATTTTTTGTCTTTTTGGTTTTGTTCTTGTTACTTTTTGAGTGCTTTTCTCTTTAATTTTTTTTTTTTTAATGAAATAGAGTGCTACTAGAATCTCATTGTTCCCCCTTTGCCTCATGGGGGTTGCATTCTTTACTCTTATGACTACTACTTTCTTAGTATATGTTCAACTTTTACCACAAAACTCTGCAACCTTATACAATAAAATATAATTTGACCAAAATTTAAACTGTATAAAGCAGAATCATATAGTATTTATAAATTTGTTTCTGTCTTCTTTTATTCGACATTTTCAAGATTTATCCAATCACTGTAAGTTTATGGAGTTCCGTCAGTGCTTAATTATAACAGAGTATATTAATCTATCCTAATGTCAATAATAAATTTCTGAATTTCCAGCTTCACATTATTATGTATATTGTAGCTATCCCATTTTTAATCCTGGAATTCATGTGTTTAACTCTCTCTGGAATAAATATCTATAATTAATATGGTTGGGCTTTACAGTATGCATACTTTAAAACTTTTTTAATGATCACATGTTTTTAAAAATAATTATACAATTTCCACTTGTACAATAGGAGAATTCTCTTCTCCTAGAGAAAGGGACTTCCTACATGTGCTGAGCACTTATGGTCCATGTGTGATATAATGTCTTTCGAGTATTATGCATGAGGTGGAGCATTTTAAAACAAGATTATTGGCCATTTGGATATCCTCACTTGTGAAGTGACTTTTCTGTAAAGACATTTTATTTTTTATTTTTAAAATTATTTATATATTTTTGATGTGAGTCCTTTGTCAGTTATACATGTTGCAAACCTTTCTATACTGTGACTTTTCATGACTTGAATTTCTTAATTTTAACATAGATATCAATTGTTACCTCAGTAATGAATTTTTGTTAACATGTTTATACAACATTTTTCCAATTCCAGAGAAGTTAAGATGCTCTCTTATGGTTATATATATATATATATATATATATATATATTACCTTTTTCACATTTAGGTCTGTAACTCCCCTAGATTTCATTTGTCTGCACATAGAAAAAAATCAATTTTTCTTTTTTCATAAATATGCCTTTGTTTTCAGCACCATCTATTGACTAAGCTGTTTCCTTCACTGCTTTATATTGCTACTTTCATCAGCTAGTGGTTTTCTACCATGTTCTTTGCCTTCTGTGCAGCACGCAAAGACCTCCAACACTGCAGTGCTGTGATTACCACAGCCTTGTAATAGAGCGGGTTTCTTTTTTTTTTTTAATGTTTATTTATTTATATGTGTGTGTGTGTGGCCAGCTCAGCCCACCAGGGGGCGGGGCTGGCTGGCATGTGGTGCTGGGGATTGAACCGCGGTCCCTGTGCATTGCTAAGATTGTTCCAAGTAGGTGCTTTAGACCACTGAGCCATCTCACCAGCCCTAGAGCGGGTTTCTGATAGAGCAAGTCCTCTGTCCATGTTTCTTCTTCCTCCCTTTTTCTTCTTCCTTTCCTTCCTCTTTTCCTCCTTCCTCTTTCTCTTCTATTTCCTCCTCCCCCTTCTCCTCCTCCCCCTCTGTCTCTTTATTCAATGTATTTTTTTCCCAGACGCATTGTGTTTCTATGGAAGTGTCGTTTTTCCAATATATATAAATGCATATTGACATTGTAAAATACTAAAGTTCACTGTGAAGTTTTTTTACATGCGCATAACTTGGATCATATTCATTCTCATGACCCCATTACCATCACTTAATTTCGCTCTATATAAGTTTTAGAAGCAATTTCTCATCTTGCATACACACATCCTGTTGGTGTTTTGATTTACTTTATTTCCACTTGCTCAACTTGGGCAAAACTGCTATGTTTCAATAGTGAGGCATCTAATCAATGACTAAAGTTTCCTTAATTACTCTAATGATCTAAATTCCTCCCTGTAAAGATTTGTACATATTTTGTGAGATTTGTTCTTAAGTACACAAT